CCAGAGACATTCGAGTATTTTCGCTCTTGCACGCTCTTTACTCCCTTCACCTTTGAAGTTTCATTCTGTGCGATTCTTTTTTTTTAAAAAAAAAGAACCTATTTTTCACAGCATACCCTTGGATCACTACGACCTCCTCTCGGATCCTTCAACATCCTTCCCAAAAAATTCATCGACGTGCACACGTCCTCACGCATTCCTTTTAATTGTCAACTAGCCTCCAAGGATGGTGTGGGTAAAATAAAACTAGACAAATAAGGTTTGATCGAGGCGTCTGGGATCGATCGAGTTGACCTAGCTGGATCCCTTGGTGGATTTGATGATGACCTGTGTCGGATTGTCGTTGAATTTAGCCACCAATGAGGAGCCAGGGTAGTATGACAGTGACACACAGTGCTGCTAGACAACTGGCACACATTGCCAATGGACTCGCTGCCATCTCATTCTGTTCATTATCGATTGAATGCTCCTCATCTCTCTCGTACTCTCTCACCTCAACGTCACATCTGAAGCAGACACGAGTTGCCTTTGGGTGAGAACTGTCACGACGTAGAAACAATGCCGAACCCTTTCTCTCTAATTTCCATCCTGGCTCTTGCAGTAGCATCCTTGTCATTTGCATCTTAACTATCGACTTTACTCGGATAGAAATTTCCTTTGCCTCTGGCTAACTGGTTAAGATCCCTTGCCACTTAATTCGATCTCCGTTATTCCGTTTCTATCTGAAAATTGAGAAATTTCGTTTAAGTCTCAGTGATTCGAATTTTATGAATCGTCGGGGGATATTTTTGATTGTATTCCCATGGCATTTCTCCGGGGGTTAATGAGGAGTCTGGGAGGATATTTGTTTTATGTGCACAGATGTCTCATTGGGGATGGGTTCAACCTGGTTTATTGCACATTTCTGGCGAGCGGAGTTTTATGACCATTCTAATTGAATTGGAGCTTTTTCTGGTGCTGGTGTAGACGGCCAATGAATGACCGGAAGAAGTTCGGTGAAATCGTGAAATTTATCGCGGATTTTTCGTCGGCGAGCGTTTGATATTATTTCTTGACATGAGATTTTTTTTTATTATCTTTGATAAACTCTTCGAAATCGTTTCTATATATATTATTGAAAAAATTTTTTTCCCATATTTTCCGTCAAAGTTTTTTCCGTTAAAAATTCTATTACCATATGCAAGGTGAGTTTATGCTAAATCAACCTCAAAATAACCCATTCCCTTATAATCTCTCTCATCCCCTAATATCGGATTTCCTCACTAGATTTTAAAGTACGCAACTAATACCCCGTACTACCGGATTTCCTCACTAGATTTTAATTATAAAAAAATGCAAGACAAATATTGTACCCTCATTTTCCAAGAGCACGAGTGACCGATAAGTGTGGAGTAAGGGTTAATATTCAGAGGATTTTGCGAGGTGTTTCTCTTTTCATTCTGCCGAGAATAACGTGGAATTTGAATAGATATTTGTTTTATGCATCGGAATATCTTATCGGAAAAACTGTAAAACTCCGTATTATCACACATTTTCAGAATATCCTTTGCCGTTGGACTATGAATCTCGTCCATAAAAGATAAACAGAGCGCAGACAGGTTGTTATTGCCGGTATAAAAGAAAGTAAGATTATATAACCGCATCGGTGAAAACTTTCAATGGGAATTCATGCGCTCGACGAATGTATATTCAATGTTTTTAATGAGAAGACCGACGAGTTGAAGGAATTAGTTGTAAAGTTCCTCGGCCCTTTGTAGTCCTTTCTTCCGAGGTCATAACGAGTGTTGAGGTTTTCACATAAAAAAATGGTGAAAAAGACGACAACAAAATGGGGAAAATTAAATCGGGAAAGAGATGAGCTGGTGAAAGTCGAGAGAATTTTACCCCTGGGAGATTCAACCGAGTTTTTTTTTTTTTTCACCCGTACCAATGACACGTAGCTGGAATGAAAATTCAAATTCACCGAGCGTTGGGGGAGAACAATACGCGGACACCATCGCATCCAACGAATGTAAAAAAAAA